GTTCACAGATGGCCTCTTTGAATTTGAGTCATGCTACAAAGATGGACGAGTCTGATAGAGAAATGTCTCAAAAGACAGCTTCAATTACATGACGCAGTTCTACAAAAGAAGGAAGGTGATTATAAATGCACACCAACTGTTAATCAAATAGTCATACATTGTATCCTTCAACTTTACAAATATTCACTACTTTGTGTTAATATATTGTTTACAATCTAAAACTGACATTTCTGAAATGTGCAATTAAAAAAAATAGTTGAAGGGAAGTAAATGTTTTGAGAAAGTGTAAATGAAGAAATTTAAACATTCTATAATTTTTTTGATACTTCATACTTTTGTCATTTGTTGTTCTGTATGGAAGCTCATAAGAGAAGAATGAAATGTTTCAGGTTCAAGGCTTAGAATTAAATTACGGTACAGGAAAGGGGCAGTATATGGAAGATGCAATAACATTCTCAACTAATTAAGGCATACCTTTCATATTGAAAAAGGCTTGTGCATTTTGTCCCAAAGGTTTCTGTAATGCAGACATGCAGACTTTTTGTGAAAATGCAACAATATTTCCTGTGTTCCCCAGATGTTGAGGGGAAAAGGCAGAGCGAGCCAAAGACGGTTTTTAATCTGAGCAGGAAGTATACAGTGGTGATACACCATGACATGGTGATTGATATGAGTGTGTATTTACCAAGTCTGACAGGATAAGAGAAAGAGAGTGTTTTCTTCCCATCCTTACATTTATCTCCCTCCATAAATCACTGCCAGTGTGACGCATACATTGGGATGAGCAAACATTGCTTTGCTGCAACTCAGGCAATTCCACTTTGACCTTTGCATTTGGATTTGGTCACTGAAGCTAAATGTAAGCCATGACCTTCTGTGACCTTGGGCTATTCATATTTAACAGCCATGAAGTCTGATGGCGCCACAGATAACATACAGTTTATCACATGGCAACATAAATCCACGATATAGTTACTAGTGATGGTCCTCACTTTTCGCCTTCATTTCTGATAGCATTAGCTTCTTTGTATTTTTTGTCTTCAGAATCATTGTTTAATTATGTTTTCTTTCCTCATTGGTCTGTGTCTTTATTGTCTTGAATCCATTACCCCCACACCCAGGGGCACCTTATGATGTCCTCTGTCCCTTCTAACCTTTGACTCCAACCAGTGCTTTAAAGGGTCTGCACTTTGCCCTCTCCCATTTGACCTGTCTGAAGTATACCTTTATAATTGCCCCTATCGCTATGAAATGCACATACGAGAGGGTGCAGGGCAGGGAGCTGAAGTCTGTCCGGTCACCTTTTGGCCTCTTGTTCATCCATTCTGCTCAAAGCAAGCACAGCAGCTCTCCCTTGCCCACAATCACATACTGTATTAGTCTCCATGTCGGAGTTATTGATGGTGCACCAGAAATATTTTATTGGTCAGTCATGACCTTTGACTGAGGCAATGCAAACACTAACCCCCTAAAGCTTCCCATCGACATGGATATACATATGATCAGATGGCTAATAGAAGTATAGATTTGGACTTGCTGAGGCCCTCGCTGTTTGGATTTTAACACCATGAGGTCAGCACTCCCTCTGTCACTGTCCAAGTGTAGAATCAATAGTTTTTTTGCAAAGAACTGAGTTTGTTCTAATGATATCTACCCAGCAATACTGTTTTCAGAAGGCTAGAAACTGTTGAAGCTCAAAATGCAGCACCTTGCAAAATTTCTGTGTATTTTATTAGGACTTAATGGAATTGTCCTAAACACAGTAGGACATCATTTTGATGTAGAGTTAAAATGAAATGGGATTTTCAACATTTTTACAAATGATCATCTAAAAGTCCTAATACCTTTAAAAACAAAAGATAATACAACTAACTAAAAGGAGTAATCATGTATAAACTCAGTGTTATATATTATGTGCCAGTCCTGGAGAAATGAATACTGCAAGTCAGTTACTCATTGCAATCTGCTGGGTATCCTTAGATAGAAATCCTTGAAACAATTTGAATGTCATATAAAATCCCCTCAATATTCAACGAGACTTGCGGTTGTAATGTAATAAAGGGGAACAAATATTTTTGCTGGGCTCTGTCCTCTCACATCTGCTTAATTTATACAAGGGCGTAATTCAGGAGAAAGAAAACATAAAAACTGAGCAAGAAAACGCACATAAAACTGTAAATATCTTCATCATCCCATCATCCTGTCCTCTCACGTTATGTCACATAAGTCTCTTCATTAACGGAAGTATAGGTTGCACTGAAGCACCCGCAATTAAGATAAGCTGGGCCACAACTGGACAATTACCTGCCAACTAACCTTTTCCGGAGGCACTTAAGATCGTAAGGGCCCCCGAGGATAGATGTGTCCTGAACAGAACAAGCTCTTCAACAGCCTTGAGAGAGGGAGTTAGGACGTAATGTATGAGAATGAAGGGGAAGGCGAGCCAGTGTCAAAGCGAGGGAGAGAAAATGATAGAAATGGAGAAAAAGACAGTATCATGTCGAGATTACCTAATCCCCGCTGTCTGAGAGGAGTGTTTGAAGGGCCTGGTGGTGTCAGACAAGAGGGGGCTTTATGGAGGGTTTACCCAAGAGAGGCCAGCTTAACCAGAAGAGCACCAGGTGACCAGTATTCTCTCTCTTTCTCCTTCTCTCTCTCTCAACCACAAACCTTAGATTGTGGCTTTGTAAACATGGTTAAATTGATTGCAGGGAGCCAATGAGATTTCCCCTAAGCCTGGGTCATTATTGCAACGTGCATCAGCTTTTACTCACCCATACTGAGGTTTGTATGGCTCATCACTCTGTTTTACATTCTCATTTATAATCTAAGTGACAGTGTTTTTCTGTCATAAGCCCGTATCTATCAGGTTGAACATGCAGAGACGTGGAATATGCAATGAATTTTAAATGTATCCGTTCCTTTTTTTTTTCTTTTCAGCTCTTGTAAAAGAGCTGCTTTCCAACGTCTTGCACGACAGGGTGAGTTTCAGCACTGTATGGTATCTGATCCCCAAAAACCCCGCAGGGTAGCCACAGCAAATCAACAGTGGATTAATGGATGCGGTTCAGCTCATAAATCTCTGCGGGACTGGAAAGCATTCAAGGACAGTCAGCCTGTAGTGGTGTTCTTAATGTTACAGGCAGTTTGGATTTCCCATCGTTCAAGGCAGTGACAGAGTAGTAAAGATGTGACAGCATCTTATGTCTGTGTTAAATCAGCGAATGTCAGGAATGCTAGATCGCCAGTCTGTGAGGCTGAAAGCTGCACCAATGTGGACTCTGGGGCTATAGATTTGCTTGGAAATATCTCCATTGCTCCTCCATAGGTTTTGGTGTGAAATAGAAAGGGAAGACAGGCAGAGGGGTGGGGGCGATGTGCCCTAATTCACTGGTGTCAGTACAACCCTTCAACCTTAGCCCGGCGCAATGAGGCCTCTGCAATAGATCACAGTGGTTAGCAGTTAGCTGTTCTTGCAGGTGTGTAAGGAATGGCAGTAACAGCTTCCATTACTGGAGAGAATGGCCCAACTCCCGCAGCCCCCTCCAGACAGCGCTGCCATTACCCATCCATTGTGAAGCCTGAGAGGGAGCAGTAAGTATGGCAGACTTATGGCTTTGTTAAAGCGACAGGATGGTCTCCTCTGGCCTCGGCTCTGAATGAAGAGGGAGGGTGGTACCGAAACATAGCCAGATAGAGTGATAGAAACTGAATATGGGGATAAATTGAATAGAGCCCCACCACCACCTCAACACACACACACAAACACACCGACCTCTCCTGGTACCCACTACTGCCACTGCACCACCACCAACTGATGTGCTTCTAAGTAGAGTGCAAGCTGTTAAGGTGGGTTGGGTTATTTGGTGCTATTTTTACAAGAAAAGGGGTTGATTTGTCTTAGGCCATTACCGTCTATTACAGCAGCGAGTCTCGGGGAAAAAGGTGGGAAGCGGCAGACGCTGGCATTCTGCCTAAAGAGAAATCAATGAAACAAATTAATCCTTCGCAGGCTGCAGTGACACTGTAATCCATCATTCAGGGGGCGCTTTTACACGCTGAATAAGGGAGCAAAGGCAGGGAGGAGGAGAAGAGATTGGCGGATGGGTGGCTGGATGCACGCTAGCTGAGGAAGAGGTGGGAGGGTTGGGGAGCAAACGGGACACAACCCCTTGGGGATAGGGAAGACATCCATGACTCGGTAACAGTAGGACAACAGTGGGTGGTGGCGACGAATTGAATGCTTCGGAGCCCTTTCTTTTGCACCCTTGAGCTGCCTGTGCACATACTGAGCAGGAGGAGGAAGAAAAGATGGTGTAAAAACAGTCAGCTGGATCAAACTACGGACATAAAAACGCGACTGTGATTACATAGAGATGTCTCTACATGTTCCTCACTTGTTTTCTGTCCCCTCCTGGCTATTTTAATCATAGCAAGCTGTTTGTTGATGGTGAGAGCGTTCTAATTTATTCATTCTGGTATATCAAGCAGTAAAGTGGCTGCTCTTAGGACATTCTAGTGTTTCCTCTTATATGTTTTGCGATCGCATGTGTAGATGAACAATTCTCACTCTTTCTGTTTTATACTGAGATTCATCACAACAGCGAACTGGGTTCCACATGGTCCAGCTCACAGATGTGCCAGAAATTCACTGCTTTTCTACCCAAAAGGATCCCCTCACCCCCCATCAGACCCCCAAACAACCCCAATACGCCAACACCATCTTACTATCCAAATCAAAAAGCTGCGTGCATGCTACTCGGATTCGGCATGGTGATGCCCCAGTGCGCAGCCAATTAGAGCTCAGATCTTGCTGTGTGATTGAGACATGTGATCAAGCTTTCCTGTGAGGAAACAGTCTTGTCCAGTCCAAAAGGCATGTGAAGCAGCTGTACCCTCCAATGAATCACAGAGCAGCCTACATCAAATGCCATCACAATTCAAGTGGGAGTAGAAACAGGGAGGAGAAAAAAAAACAAAAAACAACACAAACACATACATATATTTGTGTTTTGTTTTTATTAGGATTGTGTGCTGTGTGGAACTGCATTCCAGTAACTGTTACATTACATCATTGTACAAGTTCAATAGAGTCACAACGTCTTACTGCATTGCATTGTCCTTTCCGACACTGGCTGCTCTGCTGACGTTCATAATTAGACAACTGTTATCACAGCAGTGACTGGAGCATTTGTAGAGGGCAGTTGGGCTTGTTTCAGCAATTTCATTTTAAAAAAATCTAGAATGAACAACAAACCACTTACCTTAACCAGCTCTCACTGGAGTAAGGTGGATAACTCCTCACATTCATCCTAAATACACAGGTGGTTGCATTCTGTGTCAAGAAAATCAGAGAGAATAGTGGGTGGAGAGAGTGTGTGTGTGTGTGTGTGAGAGAGAGAGAGAGAGAGAGCGTGAGCCAGAGAGGGAGAAAGAGAGAGAGAGAGAGAGAGAGAGAGGAAAAGGGCTGAGATTAGGATGGCACAAGGAGAGGAAGTTTGAAGTGGGGATTGAAAGCGAGGAGGGGAGGGTGGAGGGAAGAGAACGGAAAGGACGGAAAAATGTCGGGATATTGCAGGAGAGCGGATGGTGTGAGGGAGGCAGAGTGAGAAATGTTGCCGGAAATGCTGGAGCCAGCAGCGTGTGTAAAAAACCTCACAGCAACATTTCTCATCCTTGACATCACTGACAGTCTTTCCACACACACAAGCACGCGCGCACACGCACACATAGACTCAACAGGAAGTGTGTTGTTAAAGTGCAGAGTTGTAAAATTTCAACTCTTTCGCAGCATTTACTTCTCTCAGATCACATGCTATCTCTGATTTAATATAAAATGCAATATCATCATCCAATATCATCATTGTTAGTTTTAAACATCATTTGCTCCTGTCGTTGTTCAAGGGGAGATGGAGAGAGAGGGGTGAGTGATGTAAGGAGGAGGAGAAGGAGGACAGAAGATGGTTGTGGAATGTTTGCTGCTCTGCTCAGAGCTCAACCGTCTCATTTGTCAGGGTTTGACCCCGGCTCCAGGGTCAAAGGTCACAAGGAACATCTGAGGAAAAACTGACACACACATACATACACAAGACCCAAGTAAACACAGCAATGTGCAAGTGTCTATCTTTTACTCTCACACATAATTCAAGATCGTCTGAGGTCCGTCTGCACAAATCATCAATAATGTTCATTCTCTGCTTGTTTTTCCTGATCTATTGCAACGGGGCTAAAGCGAACTGTGGTCTCTTACTTTGTGCCGTGGAACACCTTGAGTCATTTCCAGCCATAAAGCATGAAATAAGTCCAATAATTTACATGATGAAAAAAATGAATGTAAAATTGTGAATGTGATTCAAATAGAAAATCTTGAAATGAAGTGAGAATGATGTTAGTTCTTGCATTGCCCAATATGTAATCACAGTGTTTTACTATCAACATTCAATAGTAGAAAAAGTTCAATTCGGGAGAAATTTGACTTTTTCCTCTGACTCATTCAGTCAGGGGAGAACTGACTTAATGAGTTTCCCCCTGTGTGAGTTTATACCTAACTATCACAGATATAAACGTATACCATTTTCTCTCTATAAAGACATCAACTTAAACCCTCCACAAAAAGGAACTTTTTATGGTTTGATAGAAAAAAAAAGGGGGAAATGTTTGACTATCTTTTAATTCTTTGCTTTGTATTGAATTCAAAATTACTATTTCCATCAAATGACATTATTCCTCTATGTTCTGTCATTTTTTTCTGGTCATAGAACTAATCAGAAACAATGGAATATGAAAAAAATTAATAAAAATTATTGGCAGATCAGAACAACTGACCAAAATTGAAATTCAGTATCATCAGAAAATCCTGAATGGTCCATTTCCAGAAGGGATTAAGTAAATTTGTGTTGTTTTCATTTCATGTCACTTATGTGCTTACAAGAAGTAAAGGGTATAAACAAACTTTGTAAAGCTATTATTTAGTCACTGATTCTTTTAATCTTGGCATAGTTAAACCAGCAGAGTCCATGATAGGTTTTTACATTTGAATATCACAATGACTTCAAAATGATTTTATTTTGATTTCCTGCTGTGAAAGTTGCTGATGTTAGATTCCCAGAAAATCAAACTACACTCTTTTCCACATCTTAATTTCAAAGAAGCCAATATAAAATTGGAAATGGGACTTCTAAAGGGCAATAAGGATGAATCAAATTTTAATCTTCAATTCATCCAGTACATAAATCCCTATACTACTAAATAGGGACAACCTCTTTCTAAAATCAAACAGCATTAAGGAAAACCCCATTTCCAGCATGTCAGTCCTCCTTCGGCGTTTGTTCGGACGCCTCCTGCAGCTACAGCGCTGAGAGCCTGCGGGACAACAAACAAAGGCAGGTTACAAAGAGCAAGGTTAGCTCTACCAAATCACTCACACAAACTCTCTGCCTCATATTTCAAATTATAGGAAAGATATAGCAGGCAGTGACAATGTGGGTGGCCTGCTGCCGTGACCCACGTGAGCACAGGACACCTGTGAGTCATATCATGTTAGGGCGACGGCTGACAGCCGCTGCACCTTGAACAATGAATGATGAAATTACTGCCGCTGAGTTATAGAGCAGTGTTTGTGAGTCACTCATATGTGTTTAAAAAACTGTTTTAATTGTCACGTTTTTTGATCTCCAAAAGCAGTCCTCCATGTTGCCACAGTAAAAAGGACAGGTTTTGCAAGGGGGCTGCTATTCATGCCTTTGAGATGCATCTTAAATGTTACACCTTTGTCATTCTTTGGCCAGAGACATCAAACAGGTGCAATGAATAATTTATCTTAAGAGTTTCACATTGATAAGGTCACAATCTGCCACGTCTGGACACTAAAGGCAGGCCGTCTTCACTTTCCTGACATCTTACACACACATGTGCCCCCACACCAACAAACATACTCGTTTTAAATGGAAAAAAGTACAAAATCTCATGAGTGCTGTGTCTGTGTGTGGGTGAGAAGTGGTGTTGTAAATTTGAAAAACGTCTATGGTTTCTTTTACCATAGAAGGTGCATAAATTAAAAATGAGCTGCTGTGTTTGTTATTTAATTTGATCCATTTTGTCTTTATTCAAAACAGGAAGTTTTTCCCATTCTAATTTTTTATTTTTTTTTTAATGCATGAACACTTCCTTCATTCAAATTGCTGGGTGGGAGTTATAGTGGAGGAATCGCTTTTAGTTCACAACTAAATTGTTATACACTGCCAAGGCTGCCTCAAGGTTGTGTAAAAACCTCAACATAATTTCATTAGAGACTGCACCTCTATGACCATATAAGCCACTTTTATCCCCTTCTTCGTTCCCCATGTTTGCCCCTATTTTTAAAATTCATGGATTAAAAACTTCTATAACATTCCCAATCCCATCAGAAGGCTGCCAAGCAGTTGCAAGTTTCATTTATATCTCCAGCCGGCTCAGTATACTGCATTGAAGTGTTTAGTCACTCCAAGCTGCACCATGTTGACTGTTCAGCTACACTACCTTTCTAATTAAGCCCCTGCTGTGTGTTGGTTTTGGGAATAAATGAGGGGAAATCAGTGCAGAATTATTGTAATGCCAGTCATTTGGTTGCAACAAGCAGAAAGTTAAAATAAAATTTGGAAAACTCTCATGTTTAGTACAGTCATCCTTTTAAGGTTGGAGGTAAACTAATTGGGTTTAAGAGTTGTTCATTTTCCTCTCACAATGAGCATCAATGTCCCCCTAATAACAAACAATGTTAATGACAGTGACAGGAATACACACACACCTCCCATGTATTATTCATGACCCCCAACCCCTGAAGTTCATATATATATATATATATATATATATATATATATATATATATATATATATATATATATATTATATTATATATATATATATATATGTATATATATTTTTTTTTTATTTTTTTTTTTTTGTGTGTGTGTGTGTGTGTGTGTGTGTGTGTGTGTGTGTGTGTGTGTGTGTGTGTGTGTGTGTGTGTGGGTGTGTGTGGGTGTGTATAGTCACTAACTTTTGAGTATTGTGAACATTGTGAACACTGTGACGCTCTTGAGTGTCGGGGGCCATATCTCTCTTCTGTCCCTGAACTATATTTCTTCGCTGTGTTGTCGAATAATGTGCGGATGGGATGAAAGGTAATCTGCGTGCAGAATTTCTAAAGCTCCCTTATCCTTGTTGAATTTCTCAAGAATTCCACCTTTGCCCCGCGGTTTCCCTGAAATAAATTACTTTAAAGGGTTAGATGCCTGCGCGCATGCTGCCTCCCTCTGTTTTTTCTTTTTTCTTTTTTTTTTTTTTTTGCGACATTCCCCATCAACAGCGGATCGACGTGATGAAAACAGTTTCAGTATTTGCGCAGGATTATTTGAAACACTGTTTTGATCACTAAAGATAAACGATCGATGATGCATGATTATGATGAAGTAGTGCAAACTTCAAACCTTGCTCTCTGCAGTCAGTCTGATTAAACCACTTTCTCCTCTCACTTTTCTGTTTGTTTCGCTTCAGCTGCTAGAAAGACAAGCACACACGCTGCTGAAAATCACCTCTCTCCCTCTTTCTCGCTCTCTTTCTCTCTCTCTCCCTCTCTTTCTCTCTCTCCCCCTCTCCCACTCTCCTCAGCCTCTTGCCTACTTAAAGTTTGGTTTTTGGGGTGTACTACCAAATTACAGTGTTTGCACTCGTGGAACCACGAGGGTTACAGCTCTAATGGATTTATAATCTCCGTCTCTGGGACTATCCAAAGTAATTAGCACGCAGGGCTCTAAAAGAAATGATGGTTAGTGAGCAATAAAGCCAGAGCCCATTGCATAAACTGACAGTGGCTCTGACTTGGTTGAAACCTCAAAACGTAATTGGGAGACTCGTAGTTATTGTATTTAATTATAGTGCGGGAAATAAATGCTTCAGAAGGGTGGGAAAAAAAATTACAGTTGAACTTTTATCTGTTTTTATCATAGACTTGCACCAATTATGTACCCTAATTATGATGGGATACCAGCAGGTTTTTCCTCATGCACGGTGGTATTTGCTTCTCGAAGTTTTAAACTAACATTATAAACATTACTAACATTATAAACTTTTGTTTGTTTGTTTGCTTGCTTGTTTGTTTGTTTTTTGCACAAACTGCACCAGAAAACTTCCAGGGAGGATTATAAGAAGGAAACTATTCATTTTGTTCACATAAAATTTAAAATGTTCAGCTCGAAAATATTTACTCCTTTTTCTCTTTCCGTCAAGAGTCATCAATCAGATTTGTATGTGCTGAAAGTTTCTGATCCACATTTTTGGGGAAATAATCGCAAGACGAGCTCTTCCTCCATCTTCAGAACAATCTGAAGCCCCACAGAAAATTCTGGGGATCAGATTCAGAAGAAAAAAAACAACCAAAAAAACAAGTCCGGTTTAATCTCTCTTTCTTCCAGTCGGACTCTAAACTACAAAATTTCAATGTCAGACTGAAGAGATATTTTTTTAATGTTTGTTTTGCAAATGTACAATAGAAATGTGCTTAGAATCCTCTTTTTTTTTTTTTTTTTTTTTTTTTTTTTTTGCATCGTGCTTGCAAGGCTGCAGTGATAAACTGGCATAAAGAAATTTTAGTTCCTATTTGAAAGTCATTAATAATGTCATTTAATGGGTGATCTATTTCTACTTAATTACAAAAGTAAATCTGATACCTGAAATAGCTCAGATTAATCTACTAATATGCCGCATTGGGGAAAGTAATTATGCTAAATGTTTTTTTTTTCATAAATTATTGTCAACACGAGACCTTTGCCTTAGTTGCCTATTCTTTCTTTATTAATTATTATTGATATTGGAATTATAAACGTCAATTTCTGCGTTTTTATGTTGTTGATCTTTGAGCTCAGGAATGATTTAATAAGTTACCACATAAAAAATAAATAGCACGTAAAATCCTGACATTGGTTTCTCAGAACCTTCCCTTTCACTGCCCGCAAACTTTTTAAACACGTTGCAGAATCGCAGCGTGAAGTCACAAAACAGGCTGCAACTTCTAGTCAATTCAAACACACAGCCAGAGTCAAATTGCACACACAAAGATGTGTATTAGTTATTGTGTGTATGTGATTTTTTTTTTAATCTTGCAGGTGTTAAAGGGACAGGAGACGGTTGCATCCGAAGGCCCTCGGATGAGGGGAAATCATCCTCTAAGCCCACACAATGTCTTATTGACCGTAGCTTTGGTTGGAACCCTGATGTGATTACACACGATCAATAATAAACCTACCCTCGACCATTTATAAATCTCTGCATCAGTTTGAGACGCTTTAAAGCGTGTTCTTGTTGTCATCTGTTGTTTTATTTTGGGGGAAGGCGGTAGGAGGGGTGCAGGGGGTGGATGGGGTCTTGCACTTGTGACCTCAGTGTTTTCCCAACTGTTTGTGTTGCCTTGCTCGGTGATTTCTTGTATTTGGTGGACGCTTTGAAACATATTGATTCCGGATTTAGCCACACTCCAACATGCCTCCCGTATAAATGATTAATTAAGCCCAGTTGACAAAAGTGTAATATGCAGTCATGCAGGCCATTCTGGAGAATTTAATTACATGTAAATCAACAACAACAACCCAAAAAATTACTGCAAAGTCAAATTTCAGCTCCTCACTGCAGGCTTTTGCATCAGTGACAGAGATGACGTGCTTGAGAACAGGATTCATTTATTATTATTTTACTACTTTTCGCGCTGTCATTTGCATCATGATTAGGTTAAAACTTGGAAAGACAGACACGAAAATACAAATTTCCACATTCAAAGCACTACATTTTGGATCAAGTGTGGAGGGATCAAGTTAAACGTTAATAGGTTGAGTTCTGGGATAAAGTTAACCTGGGCTATTTTCACACCAACAATGCCGCTCTGATAAATTGTAAATATCACCGCACCGTTGGAGGTTTTTTTTTTTTATTATTTACGTCCACGTTTTAATTCTGCTCTCCACGTTGCCCGGTCCACCATCCGCGGCTGAACGGGCAGTAAAGGATGAGCACCGACTGATCAGCCTTTTAATTCGGTGACACTATCGCTGAGACAAACGGACGTCTATCGATCTTTTCATTACGTGTTCGAGCAACAAATAGGCTCGCGTGCACGTGAGCGGGACGGGAGCGAAACGAGAGGGTTCTCCCAGTCCGTTGCAGAACGCAGCCGAGCTTTAATAGCTTCTCTGCACTATCTCATCTGCAGGGGGGGGGGGGGGGAAATCGACGCAAAAGGATGTGGATAAGCAGCATGGAGGGAGAGGGGGGGAAAAAGAGAAAGATTCCGCTTTGCGCTAAGTTGAAAAGTTGCGACTCTTTTGCGTGCGCCGACAGTAAAGTGCGCGACTGGAGAATTCGTGCCCGCATTGAGTTCCACGCGTGTGCAGCCAGAGTTAAGCAAGAAGTCAGAAATAAACACCAGGAGGAGAAAGAAAGACAGAGGGAAAAAAGTGCTACTCACCTTCTCTGTGACTGCACAGCAGCCGCTCCTGCACCGGTGCTTCTTCTCCCTCTTCCAACATCCCACCCGTCCACTTTCTCCACATGCAGGTTTCCATCAGAGCCTCTCTAATATATCTACCCCGCTTCCTATTCGCTTCCCCCTCTCACTCTTTTCCTCTCTTCTCTCTCCTCTTCTTCTCTCATGCAGACCCCCATTCTTTTTACCAAAATGTGCGGAGTTAAATCTTAATGATACACCAAAGGGGGGAAGAAAAGGGGCAAAAAAAAAGAAAAAAGAAAAAAAAATGCATTGTCCGATTTAATCTTATTGGTTTCACCTTTTCAGAGTACTGGAGACGTGGCCGGAGAGTTTCCATGGTGTGCGTCCGAGACAGGGACGGGGAGAGAGAGCTCTCTTATTGAATACTTAAAAAACAAGCCGTCCCTCCTGAATGCGCATTCAAACAGAGGCACTCGCATATTAACGCTATGTTATATCTTCTTATATCTCTGTTTGAGTATAGACGTGCTTGTGCGCGCTTTGTTGTGTTAAAGTACTTTTATGTCTTTGAGTGTTGGGTTATTATTTCCTAAGCTTATGAATACAATTGGCATTTTTGTGTCTTTGTTTTATATAAACAGAGCGTCCTTTTAATTAGGAAGCACTGTTTAAACATTAATTATGAATGATGATGATGATACACTAATCAATGAATGTTTATGGGTTTTTTAAAATAGTTTATTAATGTCATCCCATATCTTTAACTGCAAAATGGACTTTTTATGAACTACAAAAGTATACAGGACAATTCTGGGCACGTTCGAGCTTTTTAATTATTATTTAAAATCTATTTAAGCGCTTAAAAATGCAAGTTTGATGGCTTGCACGTTGGGGTGTTGTGGGGGATGTAATTGCACAACGTACGCTAGATGGCAGCGCGATCCAGACATTTTTGAGTCTGAGACGCCTGCAGAAACACTGATGCATAAAAGCTGGGATCTCCGTGCAAAATTTCCCCGTAACTTCGCTCGATTTTGAGTTAATGTCATTATTAACACATTTAAAAAAAAAAAAAAAAAAAAAAAAAAACCTAGTCCTACTGAAAGTGTTTGTGCGACTGTGAGATGTTGGCGATTGTTAAACGTCCTCCGAAATTTCAAGAGATCCCCGCATCTGAAAGGGGCTTCCGGCACAACGGCGGCGTTTGCGCATCATTCTGCACAGTGATATATTTTTTTTCACCCCCTAAACTGCTCTTGAACTAAATTTTAAGTTTTAATGAGCGAAACCGGTGCCGATTTACAGACGATGCTGTACCGCAATGCGCATGCCAAGGACAAAACACGGCGTGTGAAAATATTAATCCGCTCCCAACAGCAGAGAGACCTCCGTTAGTTAATAATAAAGATAACAGTCCGAGACAAGGCATTCTGGAACTTTAAGGGGGGGGGAAATCTGAGTCAGATTCCCCCCTTTTGGTCGCAGCGCACAGCTTTTGGTTTTATTTGTCGTGCTTAAAAGCTTTGTCCCCACCTTCCTCTCTCTCTCTCTCTCTCTCTCTCTCTCTCTCTCTCTCTCTCTCTCTCTCTCTCTCTCTCCCTCTCTCTCTGTCTCTCCCTCTCTCTCTCTTGCCTTTAACCCGCTTTTTTTCGCTATTCTATCCAGGGTTTCTTCCTCTTTTTGGTGACAATAGACGGCCCATACTAATCAGGTTTCAAAGTAAATAGCAGCGCGGGGCGAGCTCACTGTAACTTGTGCCTGTCAGAGCCCCCCATCCCTCCCACTCTCCTCCCAAGCCCCCTCCAGTCGTAGAAGCCTACACTGTAAAAAAAAGAAAAAAAGAAAGAGAAAAACATCCACCCTCAGACAAGGCAGCCGGTTCAGCACCGGCGCCGGAAAATCCTGGCTGCGCACACAGACGGACCGGGTTCGTTCGGGTTGGATCGCGCGTCTTCGACTGCTGTTCGATCCGCCGTTGCGAATCTCCGACTCTTGCCAATTTCTACGGGAATGTCTCTGATTTGAGACGTTTTCCCCGGCAACATTATTTTAACCGCTCGCAGCGAGAGCGGAAAACAGGCGGACTACTGCAAAACGAGGGTGTTATTTCCCCGATAAATGGACAGAAAATACAACAATTTTTGCGATCCAATAGCAAGAGCGGGGGGACTTGTCTGGATGGACATTTTTTGTAGCGCACTAACGGAGGGGGGACTCTAACCAATGGAGAGAAAGAGAGGGCTTGGCTATAACCTTAGCCTCCCATTTTCTCTCTCCCTCTATCCCCCCCTCCTCTCCTCCTCCTCTATGCAGGGCTCTGGCCAGTCAGTCCTCTTTGATTATCAGTCTCCAGCAGCCCCTCTTGGCTCCTTGACATGAGCACCATATAAGGCGCAGCGATCTCCATAGAAACGTGTCAGTTTCAATAGTAGTGTCAAAGTTCACTATATACAGACATTCGCGCAGATCCCCCGTTTCGGAAACATTGCTCTGCTGGTCCTCTCGTTTTAAGCGCATTCATTTTTTGGGGGTCTCTCCTTCTTCTTCTTCTTGCATATCCTATTAGTACTACTTGGTGTTTTTCCTCTTTTTCTTTTTTTTTCCCTCAATCTTTTTTTCTCTTCGTATCTCCGTTCCTCCTCGCTGGAGAGAGGTGAAACTATACATGGGTACTTCATTCGGCGACGCGGTTCTCCTTCGCAGCTGGGCGAGATGATGAGGTTTATTTAAGAATATAGATGTAAAAAGCCCAGCTCTTCAGTTTTTTCCTCCTCCTCCTCCTCCTCATATACGACGAAGACGGGAGTGTAAAGGAGCAAGAGGAAGAAAGGAGAAAGGAATTTATCTCCGCAGCACTTTGGATCGCGTCTTTCCAGCGAAAAGGTTTTGGCTTTTTTTTTTTTTTTTTTTTTTTTTTTTTTTTTTTTTTTTTACTCGCTCCTGCCTTTTTTTGTGGCTATTTCTTTTAATCTGACTGCAATTTTTACGTCTGGACTTTGGGTTTTCCAACAAGATTAGGGATTCCTGAATGGCTGACTGCAATTTACCTTGGAACTGGCCTCCCGATACTTGCATATCCTGATCGGGTGCCTCCTGATTTCTGAATGTATTGATCGCGTTTGCTCCCCTTCTTTCCCCCCATATGAGATTGCGTGCTCCGATTTGACTTTGCACTGTCCCGTCTTTTGAGATTTTTTTTTCTTCCTCCACTACGCTCCATAAACATCGGCGATCATTTCGCTTTACAGCACTTTCCGGGGCCGAGATATGGCAATGGTAGTTAGCGTCTGGCGAGATCCGCAGGAAGACGTGGCCGGAGGACCTCCGAGCGGCCCCAACCCAGCAGCGCAGCCGGCGAGGGAGCAGCAGCAGGCGGCGTCGGCGGCGCCGCACACTCCGCAGACCCCCAGTCAACCGGGACCCCCGTCCACGCCGGGGACCGCCGGGGACAAGGGGAGTCAGAATTCCGGACAGAGCCAGCAGCATATTGAATGTGTGGTTTGCGGGGACAAATCGAGCGGCAAACACTACGGCCAGTTCACCTGCGAGGGATGCAAAAGTTTCTTCAAGAGGAGTGTACGCAGGAACTTAACGTACTCATGTCGTGCCAATAGGAACTGTCCCATTGACCAGCACCATCGAAACCAGTGCCAATACTGCCGGCTGAAGAAGTGCTTAAAAGTGGGGATGCGGCGGGAAGGTGAATATATGTTTTAAAGCCCCACTCATGATTACGCATCCTAGTATAGCAGCAGCAGTGCGAGGGCTGCCATGTTGCATTAAGGTCACAGGCTTTATAGCTGGGCATATACCTATTACAGCAGACTCCATCGTTGTTTTGATTTTTATTTATTTTTTATTTTTTCCCGGGATGTTTGCATGAATGGTTGTGGTTTCGTCTTTTGCGTGAGGAGAGTAAAAGGCCAGTGCAGCCACGGCAGTTACGTGCTTGTGAATGCAAGTCGCCTTAACAAAGCGGCTGCTCTTGTTAACCTCCTTTTTTTATTTGTTTTGGTTTTTCTTGCGGTCTAAACTGCATCGTCTACTTGCAAATCTATATTACATAGAAGCAAACCGTAGAAGAGTGAGTGTGTGTGTACAATTGCGAGCATTTATGTCAGTCTCTGAGTGTGTGTGTGTGTGTGTGCGTGTGTGTGTCTGTGTGTTTGAGAGTGTTTGAGGCTAATAGTCCCATTCCTTACAGTCCCTTAACTAATCTTACTAATTTATAATTGCACAACAGGATTTATAAGTGGAATGTGTGTGTATGACTGTAAAAAAAAAACAGTACACAACAAAGCCACTTCTCTGTGCTGACTAGACAGCTCAGACACACTCAATCACGTCGTTCAAGTTTTCATGCCTCATTGTTTTTGCTTGCTTTGCATTAAAGGCCATGCAACTTTCCTTTCTGTCACAAGTGTTTGGCTTTTCCCAAATTGACGAGGACCCTCCCACGTTTAAGTTGCATGTTATTCGACGTGCACGCCATGATTCCCTGTGTATTAATAATTTATTTGAAATATTACGCACTAGCTAAATTCCCCTCCTTATTCCCAGCTGACCTCTTGACTCAGACAAAACGTGGAATTATGGGTGAATTTAATAACAATTGTCCAGCACATTTAGGACCTGACTGCCTACAATTAGCAATTGTTCAATAACCTAAATTCATGAATTAAAAATAAACAGAACGTAGACGATTAAGCCTTAAAATATTCATAATAGCCTAGTTGTTCTAAGTGAAAACATGAACATTTTGTGTGTGTGAGTAAATGTATTTGCGCAGGAGCCAGCTGTAAAGCCTGTATCCTTAAATTACAAATTCAGGGTGAAGATCGAGTGATACAACACATCTGTTTCCATGAAATATCTGTGTTACTGATGGGATTTTATTTATTTATTTATTTATTGCTTTAAAATCTGATTATTGTTTTAAACGAGTACTGTTTTGCTTTTCTTTTTTTAATTGCATGCTATTTTTTGATGAAAAGAAGCACCACTAGTGGACAATGTTTATCAGTCCTGGATGCACATTTCCTCTTTTTCTCTTTCTTTTTGTCAGCGGTTCAGCGAGGAAGAATGCCTCCAACCCAACCCAATCCAGGCCAGTACGCGCTGACGAACGGGGACCCCCTGAACGGCCACTGCTATCTGTCCGGATACATCTCGTTACTGCTGCGGGCTGAGCCTTACCCTACCTCCCGTTACGGGAGCCAGTGCATGCAGCCCAACAACATCATGGGCATCGAGAACATCTGCGAGCTGGCGGCTCGCTTACTTTTCAGCGCCGTGGAGTGGGCGAGGAACATCCCCTTCTTCCCTGACCTGCAGATCACCGACCAGGTGTCCCTTCTCCGGCTGACGTGGAGCGAGTTGTTTGTGCTTAACGCGGCTCAGTGCTCCATGCCTCTTCATGTGGCCCCTCTGCTCG